AGTGCACACTTTCTTTACAAAATCCCTTATTCAAAAGTATTGAAAAACAAAAAACATCATTCAAACAAAGGGGGTAGTCCAGCAAGCAGCTTTCTGACATTATTTAGGGTGGGACCCTAGAATAATGTCTAGAGATTTCAGGCTTAAAACACATGTTGCTTTTAAGTAAACTTGTATTCATTCCCTTTCTTTTCCTTTTGGTTTGCTTTACTTACCTAAGCTCTTTAGTCTTTAAGCTTTCCAAAAGTTCCAGATGTCTTCAATCTGAGGTTTCATTGATCCTTTTTCATTTAAATATTCCAGATGCCTTCAAAGTTGGGTTTCTTGATTCCTTTCATTTTAGTATTGCCAGAGTAGCTCCAGAGGTAGCTAGCTAAGGATTCCTTATTTATTTATCAATTGATTGGTTTTCTTGTACTGTATATTATATTGGAGGCCTTGGTTGTTGAGGGGGGGGAGTTTATAAATCAAGAGACTACATTAATCATTATGTGCTGGGCCGCTGGTGGAAGTGTGGTTCCGGCCACTGGCGGAACTTGTTGGGCTTCTGTTTGGTGTTGTGGTTGTGTGTGTGCGCGTCATTGTTTGTTCTGTCCGAGTCATTGTTTGTTGTCTGTTGTTTGTTGTCGGGCTGGTCAGGCATTGGGTGATGCTTTGCAGCAAATATTTTCGGTTGTCTCAGTTGTGATGGAATTTGGTGAACATATTTGCCTCAGTGAATTTCCTGTCGTCCTTGTCACCGGGTGTTGCCAAAAGACGTCATGGTTGGCAGCACCAGGGTCGGGCCACTGGCGGGATGTGCTGCGGAACTGTTTGGTGCTGTCTTTGCGCGTTGTATGCATCGCTGCTTCTCGTCATTGCACTGGGTGATGCGCTGCAATGGAAGTCTCAAACGGGTTGGCAGTCTAGCTTGAATCTAGCTATTCCCCATTGATTCCACAAAAAAGGTACCTCACCAATGATACAAAAAATGTAAAGGAGCATAAAACCAGGCGTCTTGGACCGGTACAAGCAATCGGTCATGCTCCAGTAGTGCCGCAGCCGGTGAAAGTCAGGACGCGTCTTGAAGTGGATCCGGGTTGCTGCGCCTGCCAGGAGGTATGGCTTCAATATCTCCTCATAGACATCGTCCACAGTGCCGAAGGTATAAACGAAGAAGTGATCCATCCCATGGTAGAGATGAAACTCTAACCTGAGCACGACATTGGTTAACTTGCGACTCCGACTGCGATGGGCAACCAGTGTGCAAACTTCCCCTGGTGACTTCTTAAGTCTCGGTCACCGGGAAGCTACCTCTTGTTATTTGCTAGAACTCCTCGGACTCCTCGTTTTGCTAACAAATCCACCCTCCGGAGTCAAAGTCAAAAGCCGAGGAACCACTCGACCAAGTGTTTGTACGCCAAAGTCTCATTGACCCCATCCAACATGAAAACGTCGCGCACACAAGCAACACTCTGGTGCTTTGCGGTTGGCGTGTTGTGGTTCACCGCCACCTTCCCCAAAGTCTTCCCCTCCTCATTCTCCAAGAAGACCTCGAAGTTTTCCACCTCGCTCAGCTCCTGCAAGCATGGAAGCGGCAAGGATTTGCTGATATAAAGAAAAAATCCAACGCTTCTAACATCTTCTAACCACCAAGTGGCATGGACTCACCATTCCTCCACCAGCCTGCAAAGCCTGATGCCCAGTTCACTCTGTCTCCCGCTATCCAACAATTATGATTTGATGTTGCAACGCAATCTAAAAAGGGCCATGTGATGTGGCAGGTGTTTCATGCCAAAAATGTCATGTGATCAACATGTGGGTGCTTATGTAGGGCCTACTGTAGGGCCTCTCTCGCAATACAAATTTTATCCCACAGAGACCACAGAGTAGTAGCGGTATGCTTCATGAAGGATTGGTGCAAAATGGATACGTGGTATGTTAGGTGAGTGCAAAGGCACTGGGGCAGGCCCTTTCCCATCTGTTTATCACCAACAAAAACTATAGAAGTTGTGTCACACCCTCTCCTCCGGCCAGTCGCACTGGAAGATCAGGCTCACAGGGATGCCTTTCTCCCTGCCATAGACTCGCAGCTGTGCTTTGTGCAAGCCAGAGGCATCCGAGCAGTACCTGCATCCAGTACGAAGCAAAGCCACCATTGGTGACTGGATGTGGGAATGGATAGGCTCGCCGCTGCGTGTTCTATCTAGGTGGACCTTATAT